AAGCAGAAACACTAAACTGGCTGAAAGAGAGGTTAGGTAAAATTCTTGAAGACATTGATGTAGGAAATATTTCATAAATATAACCTCAGTTGCTTGGGAACTAGTACAAACAATCAACCAGTGGGATATTTTCTTATTAAAACCTTCTGCACAGCAAGAGAAACCACCACCACCATGAAGAGACAACCACAATGTAAGAAAAAAATTTCACCAGCTGCTTCTCAGACAAAAGTCTACTATGTAGAATATATAAATACTTAAACAAGTTAGGCCTCCCATATTTAAAGATCCAATCCAAAAACGAGCATGTGAAATGAAGAGGTTTCTCAGACAAAGTAGAAATAGCAAGTAAACATATGAAAAGATGCTTAGCATCACTGGTCATTTGAGAGCTAGAAATGAAAACAACACTGATATTCCATCTCACCCCAGAAAGAATTGCTGCTATCATGAAATCAATCAATAACAAATGCTGGCAGGGCTATGGGGAAAAAGGAACCCTGGACCATTGTTGGTGGGAGTGTATACTGGTGCAACCACTGTGGAAATCAATATGGAGATACCTCAAAAAACTAGGATTAGATCCAGCTATTCCCCTGCTGGGTATCTTCCCAACATATTTAAAAGAATCATACCAAAGTGATAAATGTGCACCCATCTTCACAGTGGCACAGTTTGTAATAGGTAAAGCATGGAAACAGCCCAATTGCTCATCAATTGGAGAATGGATAAAGAAAATGTATTGATTTAAATAGAATGGAGTACTTCTCAGCCACAAGGAATGAGAAATTGCAGATATTTATAGCTAAATGGATGCACGTTGAGGTGATACTCAAGTGAAATAAATAAAACACATGTAAATACTGAATCGTTTCTCTGGTGTGAGAAACTGAAACTGTAAATAAGGATCAAAATGTATAATAGATAATGTAAAATAGGAGAAAAGGTGTAAAGGGGAAGTGGGAGAAGTAGAGCAAAGTAAAGAGGGAATTCAATTAACACAACAAAATGAATAAATGGAAACAAAGTTTTTGTAAATAGAGAGGGGTGGAGGGGTTGAAGGGTGGGCAGGAAATTGGAAAAAAATAAGAATCAAGATATATTATGTAAAGGTTGAAATCTCCAAAGATTAATGTCACTATACCTAAAATGTACCAATAAAATTATTTAAAAAAGAAAACCAATTAATAGAAACAGCTATGTTACCTTGGCTATAGTAATAAAATCAGCAAGAATTATAGCATCAAATACAAACTGAATGGTGAAAACCCATAGGATCAATAAGTACCACCTTTAACTATAGAAAGTAGATCTAGAATTAAAGTATGAATAGTAAGACAACAAAAATGTATATCACCTATTAATATACAGAAATTACCTACTAAATGGAACAATTAACCTCTAGTAACAATAGAGCAGCATTCAATAGCAATTGCAAAAACTTAACTGGCTATCTGAAGATTCATGAAGCTTAATGCTTAAAGTAAAGGTAGAGAGGGTGGGGTGCCAGAAGATTAAGAAAATCCAATTTGAGAAATTAATGCGATATGATAAAGAAGAGCAAAAAGTGAGTGGGTTGTCCTAATGAGGAATAAAAGGAAATCATCACTGTTAGAGAACAGTCACAGGAAAGAACGCACATGTATACATATTGTAAAACATCATGTTGTACATGATCAATATACACAGTTTTATCAATTAAAAATTAATTTTTTGGGCCCAAGATTTATCTCAGGCATACCATGTCTGCCTCACAATTACAATGTCCTGAGTTCAATCCCTGGTACCGGAAAAAAAATTTTTTTTGAGTCAAAGTCTCATTCTGAAGTTCAGACTGGACGTGAACTCACTATGTAGTTCAGGTTAGCCTTGAACTTGCAGTGATATTCTTGCTCCAGCCACCTGAGTGCTGGGTTTATAGGTATGTACCACCATACCCTGCAAAAAAAAAATAAAAATTTTAAAAGAGATAACATGTCCAAATATATAAAGATCTCTCAAAACTCAATAATAATAAAGGATACAACATAGAAAACTGGACAAAAATTTCACCACTCTACCAAAGAAGATATATAGATGGCAGATATTACATCAAAAGTTTGGCAGTTACAGAAATGCTAATGAAAAGCACATTAAAATGTTACTGCCAAACTTTTAGAATGACTAAATTTTATGTGGACAATTCAAAAGTCATGAGGATATCAGTAAATTGGAACTCTCCTGTAGAGCTGATTCAAATGTAAAATTGTATAACCCCTTTGCAATACGATTTGTCAGTTTCTAACAAAGTTAAATTCCCAGTATAGTCTCAAAATCCCACTACTAGACATTTAATCTAAAAAAGTGAAAATCTTATCACAAAAAAATTTGTAAAGGATGTTTAGAACACCTTTCTTTACAAGCACCCAAATGAGAAAACATACATATTGTTAAACTGGTGAATTCTGTACTTGGGACTATTGCTCAATTTTTAAATTTTATGTGAAGATAAAACAAAATTTCAAAACAACATAAGTGTGGCATTTTCTTCAAAGTAGTTACTCAGAGTACAAGATATAGACATAAAATATTCTTACAGAAAATAAAATAGCACAAATCTTTCTTTGCAATAAACTAAGAGAGCCTAGTAGTATAAATGAAACAAATTAGCATATATAAGTGCTTTGGATACATTTAAAATACTTGATATATTTTGAAACATATTAAAATGCTTTTGATACATCAGGGAATTATTTTAACTTCTCTACTTCCTATTTATCTATTTATTTATTTTTGTGTGTGTATATATATATATATATATGTGTGTGTGTGTGTGTATTTTGATTATCTCAGAGACACCATGTAATATTTGTTTTTGTATCTGACATTTCAATTAATATTATATTCAAGTTGTATCTATTTACCTACAAACACTTTGAGTTTATCTTTCTTTACTGTTCATCAATTTTTTGGTTTGTTTTTTATCACTCATCCATTTTTAAAAACTGTGCTTACAAACAACCAGTATGGATGACTTTCAAATATATTTTACTAAGTGAAAGAAGCCAAATTCAAAAAACTTCACATCATATGGTTTCATTATATGATATTCTAAAAAAGGTAAAAGTATAGAGGAAGTAAATGATCAGTGATTTTCAGAGCTGAATATGGTGGGAAAGAAAAACAAAGGGGCCTGAGGTAATATTTTTTCTACATCTGGATTGTGGTGGTAGCTATATGACTGTATGCATTTGTCAAAACTTACAGAATTAACATAGATAAACTTCATAGCACCATATACTGGCAAGAGTAAATACTGTTATATGTATCTTCAATAAACTTAACTTTAGCTGGGCATGGTGGTGCACACCTGTAATCCCAGCACTTGGGAGGCTGAGGCAGGAGGATCGCTGTGAGTTGGGAGATCAGCCTGGGCTACATAGCAAGTTCCAGGTCAGTCTCAACTACACAGTGAGGCCCTGTCTCAAAAAAAACAGACAAACAAAAAAAATAAATAAAATACAATAAAAAATAACTTTAAAAAATTGTAACATAGTTGGGGAAGAAATAGATTGAATTGTATTTTAAAAGTAAAATCATTATATTTTAATTTAATGTTGAGCTTAAAGGTTTAATATGGAGTCTATTTTTTGTCACTTTGGCTAGCAAAGTATCCAAAAAATTAAAGTTTTTTTAACATTAACAGGTAATACAATTATCCAGAATTCTTTAATGAAAACAGTGGTGATGGACATAACAGTAATATTAACCTTGATACAGACCTGACTCCAATTTACAATTTCTCAATTACTGTACAGGTATATTATACTACCCTGAAATATTTCTTTTTCATCGTAAAATTATTTTTGTATGGATTAAATAAGAGCTGCTTGTACATAGTAAATGTTCATATATAGTTCCTTAATTAAATCAGAGTAAGTTCTGCTTGGATCCATTCATTCAAACTTCTTTTTTTTTTCTGGTATCAGGGGATCAAACTCAGGTCCTTACACTTGCAAGGCAGGCAGTGGCACCACTGAGCTGAATCCCCAGCCCCGTTCAAGCTTCTTGACTTCCTTCATAAAAGGCAGTTTGGAGCTCAGTCTGCTTCAGTATTTGCTCCACTATTCTGAGGGCTGAAAGGATTAATATCTGAGCATATGTATACCTGTAACTAATTCAAGATACATGTGTGTATGTAGATACATGAGCTAGGAAACTATACCTGACTTAATGGGAAGGATGCAGTATTGATAGAGTTAATACTATAGGTGCAATTCAAATAATTCTACTTTGTGGAAAAAAACTCCATTTCAAAGCTGAATCTTTTATTAATTTAATAAGTGAAAGTGTCAATAGATACCCTGAAGACCTTCATTCCCTGAGGAAGATTCTTTTTTTTTTTTTTTTTTTGGTACCGGGGATTGAACTCGGGTCCTTGCGCTTGCAAGGCAGGCCACAGAACTGCTCAGCTAAATCCCCAGCACCTGATGAGGAAGATTCTTAACTGATGAAGGTTTTTTGGGGGGGTGGGGGAAGGTTGAGACAAGGTCTCTCCATGTTGTCCAGGTTTGCCTTGAACTCACTATGTAGCCAAGGCTGGCATCGAACTCCTGCCTGGGCCTCCCAAGTGCTGGGATTATAGGAGTGTGCCATCATACCCAGCTCAAAGGTTGTTTTTTGTTTGTTTGCTTAAATGACCTCCTCTGTAGCTTTTAAAACTTTTGGATAGGCTGATTTAAATGACAGAGTACAAAAAAAGTACACAATAAAAAGACTTCCCCAAAACTTGTCTCACCTGTCCTCTTCAGATTCCCAAGATAAGTCTTTTTTTACTTTTACATAATGTTCCACAGTCTCTTTTTGCATTGATTTATAACTTTTACATAGGAAAAAAAGAACATATTCAGTTGCATTATCTTAAAAACAATGTGTGCTTTTCTATTGCAAATTATTTCTTCTTTGAAGATTTTTATTCTTTGTATTCACAGTCAAATAGACCTCATAAATAACGTTTATACCTCTATTAGAATCACTCTCCAATATTGCGATCTTGAATACATAAAACTGAGTGAAAATATTTGTAGGATCCTGTTGTTCAGCTTCTGTCACTGCCTTTTTGGCCTGGAATGAGAAATATTGGATGTATTTTATAAAAGCTACAAAGAAATCCTTAACATATTTTACTAATATCATTAAGGTAGATATAATGGCTGAGGGATACTCAAGAATGAAAACACAGAAATCAAAGGAAAATCTTTATAAAGAACTGCTCTCTTAGAATGCTAAAGGAGTCAGGTGTGGTGGTTGTATGCCTGTAAACCCAGAACTCAGGAAGAGGAGGCAGGAGGACCACCGTTAGTTCAAGGCCAGCCTATAGTGAATTCAGAGCCAGCCTGAAATACAAAGCAAGACCTTCTCTCAAAAAGCAAGCAAGCGAACAGACCCAGGAAGGCCCCAAAGACCCCGGAGGGGGTCTCTTCAGCTGCCTGCCTGCCTGAGATCACCCGGCGGTGGGGGCGTGACCTCCTGGCCTGCGCGACAACAGACCCAGGAAGGAAGGCAGCCATGCAGGCGCCCTTGGAACACCCCCACGACCTTCCCCCCTTCCCGTTCTCAAAGCTCCTGCTTGGGCCAGTCCTTAGACCAACTCTGCAGAGGCATAGGTTCTCATGAAGGGTACTTTTCTGAGCTCCCAACTGTGAACATCTTCAAAGAAAGGGCAGGGGAAACCTGTAATAGAACTGAGTGGAGTTCAACCCTGAGGGTAAGGAAACTAAAGTCAGGCCTTGTAGATTGTGTTCAGTCTCAGTCGTGGGGAACAGCCATTGGCTAGCTGAGACCAGGGGATTTGGTTCTGCATATGACTGTGCATGTGGTATAATATGAGATCAGAGACAGCCTGAAAGAGGACCTTCAAATTCGTTTTATTTCTCTCTCTCCTTTTTCTTTTTTCCTCATTCCACCCTAAAATTTCTTTCTTTTTTCTGTCCTCTCTCTCCAACTCAGTCTCTTGCTCCACCATATTGTCCCTCATCTCCCTTTCAATTCCAGCTCCTGCCCTAACTCAGACTTCTTCTTTTATTATTTTTTGTTTTTAGGAGGGGTTTCTCTTTATGTTCTTTTCTCCAGTCATTTTACCTCACTCATGGCTCTGTACCTTCAAGGGAAGGCAAGCGCCTGTTATTGTTAAGGGGATATATTCTTGTCCTTATTCCTGCACTCTCTCTACCCCCCCTGAAGTTAATAGCTTTGTAAAGATAGTAAGGTAATTCTACAACCTCTG